AACTGAATTGAAACAGAGCTTTAAAAGGAAATTTAATTGCAGCAAAAGTAAATTAAGTTAAAGTAAATAAAACCCGAAGCATGAAAAATCTATTGGCAGCATGAAATGTAAATTAACAGAAATGGAACTGAACATGAAATTAAATGTTGACATCATTTGATTAAATTAAAGGAAATTTGGAAAATAAATATAAAGGAAAGGAAGCAATCCGATTACAAAGAAATATTATTGAAGGCAGCGAAACTCACCATTACAAATTCGACAAAAGAAGAACTGAATTGCTAAACTAATCTAGGTTGAAGCGTAGAGCTAAAATTAAATTGAAGGGCTTGAAACTAAGATGAATCTGAGCATAAAGAGAAATTGTGCTAAGTTTGTTGTGTGAGATGTCGACTCTTTGCTTAATCTTATTGTTTACACCTAATTTTACAATAAATGGAGTGTTGCCACGTGTCACCCATGATGGCAGATATTTTATTAGTTGAAAGTTGGTGTGGATTTCCTTCAGATGAGATTGAGTGGTTATTTCCACAACGGCAGCAAAACTGTTCTCTTGTTTCGAGCTTCCAGGAGGATAATCGCAGCACCAACAAATTAATCAATTTGTTGCAAATATTACGCTGCCGTTGGTTTTTCAGGATGTCGATCCTTTACTTGATCTGCGGCAGTATGGTGGATATCTGCGGCAGTATCCTGAAAAACCAACGGCAGCGTAATATCTACAACAAATTGATTAATTTGTTGGTGCTGCGATTATTCTCCTGGAAGCTCGCAACAAGAGAATGGTTTTGCTGCCATTGTGGAAATAACCACTCAATCTCATCTGAAGGAAATCCACACCAACTTTCAACTAATAACATATCTGCCATCATGGGTGACATGTGGCAGCACTCCATTTGTTGTAAAATTAGGTGTAAACATTGCCCCCCAATTTTTGGCCTTACGAGAGTAGGTGTCAAAAATTTAGGACCTTAATGATAGGACTCAACTTCTTTGTGCCTTTGTCCCCTTTCATTGTTTACATTTCTTCTCCATTTTGGAATCAGAAACGTGGCCGACTGCAACTTTTGCGACACAATTGCAATTCTTCACCACTTAGGACTTGGAAACATGATCAACTCCAATTCATTATAAAACATAGCCACTCCCCTTATAACCATCATCGCAGATTTGTGGCCGTTTCTCTCTTTCTGTTGTTCTAGTTTTCGCATCGTCTTTGTCAAGCCATTTCAGCCACGGCCAGCCAATTTCTTGCCCAAGAGTTATAGCAAGAAGGAAGCCTCAAATCCTTTAAAGCCAAAAAAAAAAAGCAAATTACTAGTTGAGCTCCATAAAGACGTGAAGCTTTGGTTGCAAAGAGTGAGGCTGCACAATAGGAGGAGAAAGCAAAGGAAGCCAACAACACACTGCAGCAAATGAGAGATGAGTGGGCCACCTGGATTAGAACCTTTGCTAAGTTTTTTTTTTTTTTTTTAGTATCATTCATCCTTGTCACGGCCGTTAAGCCGCTTGAACATTTGTTTCCATACTTCTTTTTATTTTCTTCTTCTAATGATAAACATGAATTTATTCGCTTGCTTTATTCATGCTACCCATGGCTTTGCAAACAAAACCGCTCTAAAACACAAATGTAAGAACATGCCATGCCTCCTTAGCAGCACCAAGTCTTATGTATGCTTCCATGGTTCAAGCCAAAACTCTACGTGTCCTTATTAAAAGAAAAACAACTTGAATCAAATAATATACAAA